GGAAATATTTTTAGATTATTAATTTTTTTTTTTTTTGAGATAATAATGATGTAGTGATACAAGTCTTATTAATTAACCCAGTGCTGAGGAGAGAAGCAGTGTATTGATACCTAATCATAATTTGATAAACAAATAAGAAATCATAATGTGGTTATAAAATGGGGGATCATTTCTATATAACAAACAATATATAAACTGATCACTCACTTTGTGGTCAAGTTCCTTTTTATATATTTATATTCCAGAGAATATGACATGTATAGCTAATCAGCATTTGATTGATTGGTTGATTTATTTTTTACTGCTTGTCAACCCTTTGCAGGTTATTTAAAGCCAGAAAATACTTTTAGATTGTGAGAATTTTTGTTTTACATAATAATGGCTTAGTGATAGAAGTCTTACTAAAGCCATAGCTGGGGGAGAGGCAAATAGGTTGATTCTTAATTTTCTCAAGGTAATTTGTACATAACTGGATATAATAAACACAATTTGACTAGAAAAAAAAAACTGTGCTCTGTTTTACAATTCCAAGCCATTATCAATTACACCACCTGCACATCCAAGCTTACACCATTCTTTGAAGAAACTAAATGAAAAAAAGAATGAATGAAAAAAAGAAATGAAAACAGAAAAAAGAAAAAAGAATAATGTAAAAAAAAAAGAAAGAAAGAAAGAAAGAAAAAGATTTAAATAAAGAGAAAGAAAAGGCAAAGCATTATAAACAAGAAAAGAAAAAAAGAGAAAATGAAGTAGAAAGAAAATGAGAAAGAAAGAATGAAGGAAAAAAATGAGAAAAGGAAAAAGAAAATGAAGTAGAAAGAAAATGAGAAAAAAGAAAGAAAGAAAGAAAGAAAGAGAAAAAATGAGAAAAGAAAAAGGGAAGGAAAATGTAAAAGAGAATGAGAAAGAAAGAAAGAAAGAAAGAGAAAGAGAGAAAAGCAAAGAAGGAGAAAGAAAAATGTAAGAAAGAAACAAAGAATGAGAGAGTGAAACAAAGGCAGCAAAGAGAAAGTGCAAGAGAGAAAGAAAGAGAAATAAAGAGGATAGGCAAGAAAGATTAAAAGAGAGAAAGAAAGAGGGAGAAAAAGCAGCTAAAGGAAGAGAAGAAAGTAACACTAGGGAATAAAGAGCCTGCAAGCAAAAGAAAGAAGAAGTTAGAAAGAAAGAGACTGTGAAAGAAAGGAGCAAGAAAGCTATCAAAAAATAAGAAAGAAACGGAAATGAAAGAGAGAGAAGATAAAAAATAATTCTTGAAACAGGCGGAAACACAAGAGGAAACTAAAATGGAGAATAACATCAGAGAGAAATGAGAACGTAAAAGAACTGATGAGAAAAAAATTGATGAAAAAATGGGGAAACAAAGCAGTAAAAAAAAACCCCACAAAATACATACACACACATATATATATATATATATAATTGAAAGAAAGAGTAAATGAAATTCAGACAACAAAAAAGCTGCAACCAAACAGTAAAGAAAAATATGAAATCAAGAGAAAAAGCCAAGCTTAAAGACATACAACATAAAATGAGGAAAGTGGAAAACAAAGTTAGGGGAAAAAAATGACTAGAAAGTCGAAAGCAAAAGTTTAGAGAGTCATTTGCTGATCATATAATTTAACCAACCATAAGACAGGCAGGTGGAGGAGATAAAAAGATTGCAAAAGTGAGCTTAAAATGTGATAACGTCCGCATAGTTATGGCAGCCATATTTTATGGCATATAACTCCAACATATTTTTTAAAAAATATACAAGAAAAGCATTCTGCAATATTCGAAAACTTTTTTCCACTTCTTTTCTCATAAGACATTTTTCCTTTTAAGAGAGAGTATCATATATCTAAATAAAAAATAAATGATATATGCATTTCTTCTTCTTCTATGTGCCGTGTCTCTTCAGGACGTGGCCAATCATACCTCTCCACAACTTTCTTTTATAGTTTGTATCAATGTTCACAGTTTTATTATCACAACTGTTGAAACTTGACTAATGCATAGAATAATAATGCAACACAAAATGTACTTAGAACAAAATGTATTGAAACAAGAAAATGTACACAATATTTACATATAGTCTTTTGTATATTCTTGGGAAGACCGTTCCTGGAGAATGTGTTGACTGAGTCGCAGTCAGGCAGAGTCTCTGGATTGGATCTCTTGATTCCTCCACTCTATACATAAAATACATTTTTATTTTTTATTCCCTTCCCCACAAAGACTAGAATTGTACGTATCAGGACTAGTTAGAACTTCATGGAGATTCTGAGTTATTAAGGTAGATTTAGTAAGTATGGTAAGTAAAAATGTGTTGTATTGGTGTAAGGAATAGTGTGGTATGTTTGGGTGAATAATTGTGGCTAGCTTAGTGTTGAAACTTGACTAATGCATGGAATAATAATGCAACACAAAATGTACTTAGAACAAAATGTATTGAAACAAGAAAGTGTACACAATATTTACATAGAGTCTTTTGTATATTCTTGGGAAGACCGTTCCTGGAGAATGTGTTGACTGAGTCGCAGTCGGGTAGAGTCTCTGGATTGAATCTCTTGATTCCTCCCTTCGTCTTCCCAGTACCAACCATATTTATATGGTCGGTATTCCACTATGCAAATTAGGTGGATCCTACCACAACAACAACCACTCCCTGTTCTGCCATCTATTTACACAAGTCAGTTAGATAGATAACATGCAGCTTCTCCCTTTTCCTTCAGTACATAGCAGATCATCGCTCTCCACAACTTCCTTCTTTTGTAATGTTTGCCTTTTTACTATCATGACCAAAAAAATGAAAAAGGAGTTAGATTGATACTAAATCAAGAAATGCATTCTGGGATACTTTCAATTATC